AGGGAAAGACCATATCAAGTGAGTTTTCTGAAAGGAGCTTGGTAAAGCAGAATAGAGGGGCAGATGTGCAGTGACTATCAGTAGCTGATAGAAAAAAGAAAAAATCTGGCTGTCTAAGAGAAAAGTGAAATCAAAGCCTGGAACTGTTTCTGTGCCAAAGGATGAACTGCCCATGGCCATGGGTTGGGGTATGGGCACTTCTGACTCTGAGAGCACTGACTCTATTAACTTAAGATGGATGGGCACTTTGTGAAGTGAAAACATTGGAGGGAGACCATGTTTGAACCCTAAAGGATGGACATAACTTGAATAAGTGGCAGTGGATAGATCAATTTGAGTTGTAGACTCTCAAAATAAGGTGTTACATGCCAACATGTCTAACACCTTGCCAATGTCAAGAATGAACACTAACCTTGTGCTCTATGTGGAAAATGAATGAAATATATAAAAGCCACAGCAGAGCTCATTTTAGGCAAAAGCTGGTTGCTCCAACTCCTTTTGACTCTGCCCCTTTATCCCTGTCATCTGTCTTTTATGGTTTCATATTAAATTGTGTTGGTAAGTTTCCCCATCACAAATTTATCGTCATTATAGGTAATGCAGTACTGTGACTATTCCTTCCTATTTTATTGAAATTCTAGATTACAACAAACAAATAGAAAAGATGTTTAAGGAAGAGCTATTTCTCGGTATCCTAAAGTCTTACCTCAAAGTCAGATTTCTATTCTTTCTGTCTCCTAGACCAGCTCTTGTCCCAAACACATAAAATCTATGGCTAATAAAACCCACATCCCAAAACTCACATTTTAGATAGATCCTCCTTTCATTTGGTCCAAGGCCTGGCTGCACACCCTATGAGGACAGATTTCTGATTACTCTTTCTATTCTAAGATACTCTCTAAGGAACCTGAGGGAGTATGTCTACAAATATTAATCTTACTACAGTTTAATGCACTGCCTCAGTCCAGTGATTGTGGGATGTTCCTTACATCCTGTCCCTGGCGTAGCATTATGGGATACATAGTAAAACGTTCTTATCTCTGTTAAAGTTAAACCCAGGCATTTATTTCTATTGACTCTGAGTCTTTTGGGGAAAATGACTTGCGTTTTTAACCAGTTATTAATCTAAAAGTTTCTAAACTCACTTATGACCTATAGGCTCCTGCTTCTAGACGTCCCACCATTTTGGGTCAGGTCAGTGTAAAGACTCCTCATGCTGACTGAAAATTTTGTCTGTATCTCCTGTTTTCAGGACTGAATAAAAGAGCTGCTGCATCTAAGTACCCTGAAACACTTTTTCTGGGCCACAAGAGATTATGTTTCTTAGGTTTGGTTACTCATGTCCATGCTTAGAATAAACTGCTTTTTAATTATTTCTACCAAGTTTGGTTATTTCTGTTGACACTTGTCAAGAACATTTTTGGTTCAATAGAACATAGGAGATCCCAGCCATACACACACACACACAAATATATACATATATATATATACACACACACATACACACACACACACACACACACACGTACGTACACACACATTCTTTTTTTAAAGAAAAAGATTTTTGTCATAGGGCGTATGCACTCACTGGAGAGAGTCAGAGAAAGACAGTGAGAGGTGAATGGGAAAGAGAGAAATCATCTTCCAGAGGAGTGGCCGTGCTACAATCCCTTCTCCTCCATTCTCCTCCTGGGATTTAGGGCATGTATGCACACTCATCTGGTGTGATTTTCAAGCTGCCAGATCTGGGACTCAAACCATGGTCAGCTACGTGGGAGTCCAGTGTCTCAACCACCATGCCACCTGCTGATCCACGCAGCCTATATTAATAATTCCTGAACCATCGTCCAGAGGAGGCAGCTCCTAAGGCAGCCTCCACTTGAGTACCAGTTGTATTGAGAGCTCTCTTTTGTTTCTCTTATTTACTCTCCAGCTAGGCATGAGCTGACAAAAATAGAAATGAATTGACTGCAAAATAAAGTACATTACACCGCCTCATCGTGTAGATGTGAACACTCTGGCACACAATCACAACTTCAAAAGACACAGTGCCCTCCCAGCTCCTGGTTCTACTCCAGTGTCCATAAGTTACTGCTCATTAATCACTCCATTTTAAAGAGTGAAAGCAGTAATATTATTTTTTGAGAGGTTTTCTTCTATAGGGCGCATGCGCTTGCCAGATAGAGAGAGACATAGAGACAGAAAGCGAGAAATCACCCCCCAGGGGGGATGGTCACGCCGCAATCCCTTCTCCTCCATTGTCTTCTCAGGATCTTGGGCACGCACGCACACGCGCCCGGCGTGAGTTTTAAGCCACTGGGTCCGGGACGCGAACCGCGGTCGACTACGTGGGAGTCCAGCGACACAGCCATTACGCCAACTGCTGGTTCCTGAAAGTGGCAATATTTTAATGTTTTTAAAATACACAGTGGACATTTTTAAATGGCAATTAAAATTCATAAAGATGATTTTGTGTTGAAAGGACATCATCAGCTTAGTTGAAATCCTAGTTATGATAAAACACTCCTGATTTCAGAAGTAGGAAATTAACATACAGAGTGTCTAGTTGGATCATGAAGGCAATTGTTGGAGATGAAACATTCAGCTCTCTAGGGATCCAGTTAGGACTATACTACCCAGCTATTCACACTGATGTCCTATCAGTCAATTTGCACTTATTACTTGAACATTATCAATTTCTTTTCTTTGGAGATGTTTTTGCTATATGGCTCATGCGCTCACCAGAAAGACAGAGAGAGACAGAGACAAAAAGTGAGAAATCACCCTCCAGGAGAGATGGCCACACCACAATCCCTTTTCCTCCATTCTCCTCTCGGGATCTTGGGCATGCATGCACACGCACCCAGCATGAGTTTAAGCCACCAGGTCCAGGACTTGAACCACGTCGACTACATGGGAGTCCAGTGACATAGCCATTACGCTAACTACTGGTCTCACTTGAACATTATCTTTATGCCAGGGCTATGTTCTGGGTCTGACCACAACAACATTTTAGAACTCAGGCGTACCTGTAAAAGATAGTTTGTGAGTAAATGATTCATATTGAGGGTGGTAGGGGGAAAGAAAGCCTCGAAAATGGCTCAGGTAAAGTTGGATTCCAGAAGAAAAGGCCACTGCATTTAATATTGGAAGAAAAAATTTCATTTTACACTTAATATCACTTAGTAAACATAAGTGATAAATCTTTTAGTAGAAGCAGGCAAAATACATGGTGTCACACTCTCAGGTGTACCTCTAAGTGGATAATATTCACTTCATATCCTTAGTAGGAGCCAGCCTACAAGTTCTTCCTCTCTGGATGTAGGAAAGCATTTGTAACCCTGGGCTGCAAGCAAGCATGCTGTCTTTCTGCTGCAGACAAGGTAACAAAGGCTTTACATCCAAAACATGCCCATCAAGACATGCTAACTGTTCATGAAAGACATCTGTGGACCAGCAAGTGGCTTGGTGGTTAAACATACTGGACTCCCACATTGCTGACCACAGTTCAAGTCCCAGACCTGGAGGCTCAAAAATCACTCTGGATATGTGTGTGTGTGTGTGCCCAAAATCCCAGGAGAAGAATGAAGGAGAAGGGATTACAGCCTGGCCCTCCCTCCTGGGAGGTGATTTCTCATTTTCCCTCTCACTGTCTTTGTCTCCCTCCTGCAAGTGTATGCACCCTATGGCAAAAGCCTTTTAAAAAAGACATCTGCAGCATCTCAAGGCAAGATTCTAGTTGCTACCGTAATGTGTTGGCCTTTACAATATTTGATTTGCTATTTAATTTTAAAATTAATTAGGTTAATTAAGGGGTGATTGGGCAGAAGTTTTACTATCCTGCCTAGAAATACGTACAACAAAAATGTACTTTTATGCAGAGTTTGGGCAAGGGATACCAGGTTGAAGCTTAACTGCAGAATTCTCAGTCCTAGGATGGGGATGTGAACCCACACTGACAGGTGTGCTGCAGTGTTGGCAGAGCTGTGCACTTCAGTAGGGGTCTGTCAGGCTGTGATTCACTGGCTCCAGAAGAAGCTCTCTCTTACTCATACATAGAGTAGGCTCATTTAACCCTTCTTTGCTTCCAAGAAGACAGATCCAGCCTCCACAGAGCTTTTCTACTTCTGTCAATGAAAGCCTAGATAATAGAAGTATTTGATCTGTAATTTGCTTGCCAAGTCATAAAACTTGTGAGTATTGTAGAAGAATAGTCCCTCAGGGTTTCTTAGTAAAAGAAAATCTTAGTTAAAAGAATGTCTTAGGTGAAAGGAACAAAAGGAAGCAAGGGAGGAGAGGAAAGGAAGATGCAATTGACTGCATAGGCTCTCGAGTGGATGTCACACTGAGCTGAGCACATGATTCCCTTGTGCTGCTTGCACAGGCAGGCAAATCAATAGCTTGTCTTTGGTGGAGGATATCGAAATAACCTAACATGTTCTTTTAGAAAATGAGATGCTGCCGGGGACCCCGCGCCGAGCGAGCGAGGTGGCGGCGGGCGGAGTAGGCCCTGCGCCGGCCCACCCGGCCAGCTG